GTAGGATGATTTGTACACTTGTGGAATCAGTTGTTTAAATCTGTAGGATGATTTGTACACTTGTGGAATCAGTTCTTTAAATCTGTAGGATGATTTGTACACTTGTGGAATCAGTTCTTTAAATCTGTAGGATGATTTGTACACTTGTGGAATCAGTTGTTTAAATCTGTGGGAACCTGGATTCCTCTTATGTTCAAGCTTGGACTTTAGATGTTTGTACAAATCCAGATATGTAACATTTATTTTTTGAGTACATTTTGTGCAGAAATGAAATACCACATCATACAAGAACTATTGTTTTATTAATATATAAATATAGACTGTCAAAAAGTGAAATAAAAACCTGACTTTTCTTGCTCTTTTCCAAAAAGTCTTAACACAGAAGGTGTTAAAATTATACACAACCCTCAACTTAATTTCTGTTTAAATCTCTTAGTGTTTAATGATATCTTAGAATATAATACTTGTACAAAATGACATGGTTAAAGCTTTAGTAAATGATATTGATTAATAGAAAGTATATATTAAAGTTGATTGAGAAACGTACAAGTCAATCCATTTTTTTTAGGCTGAGTCCTGAACACGTTGGATGTGTTGCCCTAGGATGTATCAATGTTTCAATCCAGCTGACTCGTTGCTTGTCACCAGAACTTATTCCTTACTTACGTGTTGGTCAAGAAGTCTTTTTAAAAGTTATTTCTATTGACTTTCAGAGAAAGGTTCTCCATATAGGAGGAAAGATTACCAGTGAATGGTAAGCCTGATTTTATATCTTATTTCATTTACTAAGACTTGTTTGTCATTTGCTATGTACGTCATTCAGGGTGAGAAAATATTGCTATAACCTTTAGAGGTGACTTTGATGTAGCCAATGAACACATAGGGGGGGGGTCAGAACTGAATGCTGACCCTCCCCATGTCACTTCCCGGGGAGGACCCTGAGAGTACATGCCATGGTTGGTGACAGTTGGTTCAACAGTTTGCCCATTATAAGTGTACACAGACTTTTGTTGTACCATCAGAGCTGTGTGATCCAATTTATACTCCATTTATTTTAGGTGCCATGCTCTATTACAGATCTCTTCAGATTGTTTATATTATAAAACTCAGTTTATATGAAAATACAATTATTTTTCAGTTGATTTTAAAGCACTTTTTTTAAACAACTAACTCAGACTACCACATTTTCCCATTATCATGAATGAGGTCCCACGCAGTAGTAATTTCAGTTTAGAATTTCCTTGAATCTCTGATACACTAGGTGAGTGTTGTACTAACGCTCTAGTGTTTGGTAGTAAAGCACTTTTTAACAACCTTTCTTCGTGCAGGGGTTTGATTTTAGAATCTTTTTTTTGGGGGGCGGGGGTACAGTATGTCTATAAGCATAGTATGGTTGTATTCCCCAATGTTTTGTAATGTGTTTCTGTAAAATGGTACAGTTTTTATATACCAAAAGTTATCATATATAAATAAAATCCTAAAATTTGTAAAAAAAAAAAATTTAAGAGGATGGAAGAAAGATGTCTGTCCTATGGAAACCACTGTGTATATAAGGCTAATGAAGATGATTATTGTTTATAGAAGGTATAACAGGTTCTGATGTAGAATAATGAGATTTCTATATATTTAATAAAAACATAACAATTTGAGCTGGGTAGTTAACTCAGTTGATCAGAATTAAGTTTAAATTTATTAATGACATGAAAGTAATCAAGATATAGCCATTACGAACAATTCAAGGTTGTTAATTTGAATAGGTCATGACTCGCAAAAGTAATCAACTGTTATATCCAAGTAATCAAGATATAGCCATTATGATCAATTCAAGGTTGTTAATTTGAATAGGTCATAACTCACAAGAGTAATCAACTGTTATATCTAAGTAATCAAGATATAGCCATTATGACCAATTCAAGGTTGTTAATTTGAATAGGTCATGACTCACAAAAGTAATCAATTGTTATATCCAAGTAATCAAGATATAGCCATTATGACCAATTCAAGGTTGTTGATTTGAATAGGTCATGACTCACAAAAGTAATCAATCAACCAAATTAGTTTTATTTTTATTATTACAATTTTTAACTATTCCAACAATTAAAATCTAGTGTATAAATTAGTTGAAGGTGATTCGTTAATCAGACTGACTATTAATTGATTATGAAAATCGACCAACTGCTCAACTCTTAATTGAAGATTATCCACACAATAAGTAATATATATATAAATTTCTCTCTCTCATTAGTTCAAACAAGAATGTTAAATTATTGTTCGGTACAATCAAAACAAAATAATTTGTTTAAAATTTGAGCTTGTTGTTATAAGTGATGAAATAAAGTAATTATTTAATGGTCATTCTTAGTGTCTTAGAAAGTTTCTCATATTTTCCATAGTGTATCACGATGTGTTAAACTTTACCTACATAAAGTGTGTATAAATGTAAATAACTAATGGCTTACGCTACACAAACCTTTAAAAAAGAAAAAAGCTAAAATAATCTGTATATGAAAACATTTCAGTATCACCAACATTTCTTAAGTGAAATAATGCTGTTTGAATTACTGTTAGTGTGAATCTGTGATTTTAAATCTTCTACCTTTCTTTAACCAATACACTATGTATTTGTATTGTTACTTGACACTATTGTATTCTATGGTGGATACTGTCAAGTATAATACTGACAGCAATAATTATTTAAAACTAAACCACTGAAAATTTTAACATATAAAACTTACATTTGACCCTAATTATTAACTAGAAGTGGTGTTATGTGATAAAGGTTTTATGGAATAACCTTGTATTAATACGATAAAAGTTTTATGGAATAACCTGGTATTAATACGATAAAAGTTTTATGGAATAACCTAGTATTAATATGATAAAAGTTTTATGGAATAACTTGGTATTAATATGATAAAAGTTTTATGGAATAACTTGGTATTAATATGATAAAAATTTTTATGGAACATGTGGCAATTATGAAAACTTTTCTGCTGTGTTTTCAATTTAAGTCTGTTAAAAGTTGATTTTTGTGCTACTATCTCAGTTCTAGGTTATTAGGTGCTGATAAATAATGTGTGTAATCCATAACAAGTCTTACATTAAAACATCTTTTGTTTGTTTTTTTATCATATTTTTCATCTGAATTTCAGTATTCAATTCATGAAGGATATCGACCCCCATCCACAAGTTATCAACGGAGACGAAGCTGTAAGTGAAGATGGTTCTTCCCTAAGTCATGACAACACTTTTAATGTAGCAGGTGTTGTAAAGAAGGAAAATTCACTTACTGACTGTGGGACCAAACCCTCGACAACAAGTTTACAGGATTCCCTGGACACTATCACACCAACTAAGTGTTTGGACACAAACGACATTACTAAAAATAAATCAGTGAAAAAGAAGAATAAAAGAAACAAGAAAATAAAAACATCTCCCAAAAAATCTAAAAAGAGCAAAAAGAATCTAAGCAAACAAAGTTCCAGTAGAAAAGATAAAACTAAAAATCTGAAGAAAAGGAAACAAAACAAACTTACAAAGAAGAGGTTAAAAAAGACTTCTTAACAGAAAATCGATGCTGAAGACAAAAAGTTTGGAAACATCTTATTGTACATGCCAATGTAAAATCTAAAAGTTATAAATAAAGTTTTTGTTAATTTGGATCTGTTACTTCAGTCATTTATAGACATTTTTTCCATATAGATTTTTAATACAGCATAAATTGTATATGGTAGTTCTTATACAGTCTGTGCCATGACCTGCTTCAGTATTATTGTATTGCACTATTCAGATATCTTTGAGGCTTGGAACTAGAAAGATAAGTATTTGATGCTAATACTGTATAAACAGTAGTTTTCATGAAGGAAAGGTTTCTGGCTTTCATCTGATTGGTACGACAGAAGAGCTCAATCTGTGATTGGTTGTTATGTAATGATATCAAATTCTCTCAAGCTTTCATCTGATTGGTACGACAGAGCTCAATCTTTGATTG